TGGTGCCTCATTGCCAATTCTGATATACTTGGATTGTGCTCAAGCTGGGTCCTGTGGAAGCCAAAGGTGAAGAGGATGCAGCCAAATCCCATTCCTTTTCTCAGTCCCAGACTAAAAGACAGAAGTCATCTGAGTAAGAGACAGAGTCTGCTAGGGACTGGCATTTATGCTAAGCAATTCTTTAGAGGATTTCCAGTTCTACCTCTTGGAATATCCCTCTTTGGATTTCTGGGACACTGAGTCAGATAGGCAGTCTTTGATTTACCAACCTAGATCATGGCACCTGTGGAATGATGGTCATCTTGGTAGGCAGCCCTATGAGAAGCCAGCCCTGTTGTGCTTCCCTATAACTCTGAACTCAGCTCTCATTCTGATTACCAAGCATCTACAGTGCCAGCCAGCCCTGAGCACATAACGCTGACTGCCAACAGAAGTGTCACTGATACTTCCCATGTCCCTATCCCTCTGTTCTACTTCTTGGGTCACCCATAGATCTTGTCTTATCTTTTCTCCAGAGTCGTTCTCTCCATATGTCTATTGCCTTTGAATTGCCAATGCCATTCATTTACAAACAGGAAAGCACGTCTCTAATGACTAATGAAAATTATCTCAGAGAACGCTTAAGTGAAAGTTGAGTTTTCTGCATGTTCTTGTTGTCATATCTGAGCCTGAATGGACCAGAAAAAGCATGGTCACCATGGAGTTCATGCTTTCAGCTCTGAGGCCTTTTGGTTAAACTCACAGAACTTTTCTAAACTACTGGGCTGTCACGTTTCACATGACTGCCCACAATCTGAATGCTTCTCTGTGGCCCTCAAGTGAGTACTATTGGTTGGTCATGGTCACTGCTAAAGGGACTCCTACCAGAAAAATAATGGTCTTTGGGCAAAGGTTTCCTAACATTTAACTAAGACCTTCACTTACCTTGGAGCATGGCACCTGATCCTACCCTGGAAACAGTTTATGGCACAGCCAATCATTCCCTGCTTCATGAAATCCATCTTCTGTTGGTTCTAGGACACCATCCTCAGCCGGGTTTTCTTTCCCTGTCTGGATGTTCATGTTTTGTCTGCCTCTGCCCACCGGACACTACTGAGCTACAAGTGTCTCTTCCAGGCCTGCTTCTCCTTTTACTTGCTATTCCCTTCCTAGGTAATTGCATTAAGTCCCATGCTGCAGATACCATCTGTGGATATTTAAGAATTGATCTTTTTATCTACAGCCAAGACTTTCCCCCCAGAGCTCTAGACACTCGCTTTTAGCTACCTACCTTCAATTTCAAATTACTCTAAACTCAAGCATGGTTTCACTCTAGCCCCCTTTTTGTGTAGTTCTCAAAGCTGTAAATCCCACTATCATCTACCATGTCATGCAAACCAAAACCTGTGGCCACCCTTCTGATTTTTTCCTCCTTTATTCCCCTCCCTCCATCTATCACCAATTTTCACTATATTTATTTCAGGTAATTATCCCTTTTATTACATCTCCAAATCCGCACTGCTATTTTTTGAGTCTTTGTGACTATCATCATCTACCTGGGTGCCTACAGTAATCTCCAAACTCATTTCTCCAAGTCAATTTGTTTCCACATTGAAGTTGAGATGATGAGATGATATGCTAGAAGCACAAATCTGATCCCATTAATGCCCCATGAACAGTGTTTAGATGGCTGTCTGTTTTGCTTGGGCTACAGAACAAAACCATCATCATAGTGTACAGTGACATGTGTGACCTAGCTCCTGCTTCCCTCTCCAGCATCTTTCTTAGCTTTTTGGCACCTTTAACACTACATTTCTGCCATACACTAGGTTCCTTGCCAGTTACACAGCCTGACCCAGAGTGTCTACTATACTGCTCCTGTAGGCTTCCATTGTCTAGCTACAGCCCTGGAGCTCAACCTGCTGGCCCTTTCCTCCCAGAAGTGACTTACTTCCCTGTTATGCTCTTTCCAAGGGATCATGTGCCTCTCTGTCCAAACCCTTAACAAAGCCGAAAGTTGCTGTCTTAGTTAGGGTTTCTATTGCTGTGAAGAGACACCATGACCACAATAACTCTTATAGAGGGGGAAAAACATTTAATTGGGATGACTTACAGTTTCAGAGGTCTATTCTATTATCATCGTGGTGCAACATGGCAGCATGCAGGCAGACATGGTACTAGAGATGAAGCTGAGATTCCTACATCTTGACTTGCAGTCAACAGGAAATGATCTGTCTCACTGGGCATGGCTTAAGCATAGATGAGATGTCAAAGCCTGCCTCCACAGTGACACACTTCCTCCAACAGGACCACACCTACTCCAACAAGACCACACATGTCTCCTAATAGTGCTACTCCCTTTGGGGGCCATTTTCTTTCAAGCCATGAGAGTTGCCATTACTAATTATTGATTTACTAAGTATATCCTCATGGTTACAAACATCAGTGATTTCAAACTCTCTGAAGACAGGGACTGTATCTGTTTTGCTCATCACGATGTCTCCAGATACCTGCCACTGGTGGATGTTTGCAAATACTTATTTACCTAAGGAGTGGGGAATAAATCTTATTAGACCAGTGACAACACGGATCTTACATAAGAAGAGGCTCTCATGGGATCTCATCCTTGAACTCCCAGCCTCTAGAACAGGACTTTGGAACAGGTACTAAGCAAAGTTTAACACCGCCAATGATTCAATGATCTAGAGTTAACCTTTCCTCTAATTCTGAATATAAACACTGTCAGTATTGGGGAGCCTTGTGATTTGAGGTGCTATCTTTCTTTTGGGCTTGGTACATTGTAGACTAGCTTTTTCTTAGAAATCATAACTTCAGTCTCATAAGCAGAGGCTACTCAGGAGCCACTCAGAAACACCCCACTCTGCAATATCAGACTTCCCTAACTAAAGATGTGCTGGCTATCCCTGCATGCACCAGGAAGTCACTGGGCTGCAGAAGAGTGGAACCTTGTCAGACAGCCCTAGGGTTGGGTGAGTTGGTTAGTCTTGCCTATATGTGGTGGAAGTAATGAATAAAATATATCACCTTTAATCACTTCTAGGGAAAGGCTTTTTGACCATACAGAGACTATAATTCAGACCCAGCACTTGGACACACAGGAGCTCAAGACACATAACTGAGTGAATAAATAAATCATTCTGCCCTCTGCACTTTTCTGTCATTCCACAACCACCACAGTGACTGTGAGGAGGAGTCCTTTGCTAGACACTGGCTTTGTAGCAATGAAAAGGACACAACACCTACTCTTGAAGGCTTCCCATTCCTACCAAGGATGCTCAGCTAAGTAAACCAGTTTGCCAAAGTTAACTAAAGTTTGAGGAAAGTGCCTGGAGAGAACATGCACTCTACACTCATAAGCAAAAAAATAAATAAATAAAAATTGAGAAGTATCAATATGCCGGAGGCCTGCTCTAAAACAGCAGTGAGTTTGGGGAGTCAGATTCGCAGTTCTGTGTTGAAAAGCAACCTTTCGATTCAATGCTCAGCGAAGTTCTATGAATATATGACTGAAAGCAAGAGAAAACTCAACTTGGTTCCATGTGGACAAATGTGTGCGGGCAGAGACATCATCCCTTTAGCCAAATACGCAAACAACCGTGCACATTTAGTGAGCCCCTCTTATGAGTCAGGATCTGCGCTAACATAGAAAACAAAGATGAAAGAGGTATAATGCTACCCGAGAGGAGCTTGCAGACCAGTGGAAAGACAGATGTGAAAACAAGCAACTAATAATACTAGTACATTGTGGTAAGAGAGATTGTGAGGTATGTGCAAAGGGTATAAAGTGTTATCAGAATTTAGAGGAGAGAGAAACTCTGCCAGAGGCACAGGAGGCCACAGAAGGTACATTGGCTGATGAAGGATAAACTGGTGCTGATGTTGCAGAAAAGTAGAGATGAGTTTGGAAAAAGGTGCTTCTGACTTTAAACTGCCTCACGGGGGAAAAAAAGCGATTCTAATGGGGAAATAAAGACAGCAGGAGAAAATTGCCCTAGGATGCTGGTAGCCCATGGACTACCTCCAGAATGTCTAAAACAGGAAATTGCCTTCCATTCTTAGTAAACACATGAAGAAGCTAGGCTCTGCCTTTCTTTGCTTACTTACTTTTGCTAAGGAACAAGCAAAACAGTCGTTTGAAGATGAAAGATGAGGGGTTAGGGGCTTCCAAAGCTCAATTCAAGGTTTCTCACCCTAAGGCCTAAATTTGGAGTCACCAACCTGGGGGATCTTGTTCCTGACATTAGCATCACTCATGCGACTTCTAGCAAGGCCTTTCATTTTTTTTGGCTTTTTGCTTTTTGCTTTTTGGGTTTTTTTCCCCATATATAAAATTAGAAAAACAATGTCTGTCTTTGGAATTGTCTGTGAGGATTGCCCAAGTTAGAGTCCTGAGTCACCCACACAGGCCTAAGGACATAATAAGCGGCCAGTTCCTTTACCAGAGGTTGAGCCAACAAGTTAGCATATAGTGTCACACAACTGCCAAAATTGAAATATTCATCACGTTTTCTGAGCCCAAGGCAATTCCTTTTAATCCACTATTTTCCCCCTACTGTTGGCTTCTTATAAAAAATAAAACAAAAAGATCCCTTAGATCACAGTGATTTTAATTGTTACTTTAACATAAAGCTATTATTTTCATTACATAATCTGAAACATAATTCTATGAACCCAAGAACTCAATGGTAAGCCAAGGTTTGAACACTCATAGCAAAGCAACACAATGAATAAAACCTTATGCTCCCACATGGCAAGTATGAGAAACTCTTCTGATTGCTTAGAAAATCAGTTTCTTCATCTCTGAGAGGACATCATACTTATCCCAACCTCTTAAGGAATTAATTCTCAAAGGGGATCACATAGAACAATATATCCGAAGCTCTCAGCACAGTGCCTGGCACATAGGCAGCTTTAATAAGTAGACACTCATGTCACCGTCACTATTGCCTGGTCACATGTGAGCCTTTTTAACATCTTCCTCCTTCCCTTTTCCTCTCAAGGTGCCTCCACCCAGAACTCTAACACTGTGGAGCCAGAGAAGCAGGTGGACAACACGGTGAAGATGGCAGGTGTGATCGCTGGCCTCCTCATGTTCATCATCATTCTCCTGGGTGTGATGCTGACTATCAAAAGGAGGTGAGTCTTGGCACTGCCTAGAGGATCCTGCTGACCCCATGACTCCTCACTACCATGTGGCCAGGCAATTTTTCTGTCAATTATTGTCCAGTAGAGCTTTTCCAATAGGATCCTTGAGTTCCTTGTGCTATTGCTTGAGAGACATGTGTTGCCTCCTTGGCAAGCGGCTTTGAGAAGACCAGCTTTTAAGGTGCTCAGTGATTCCTGTTGCTCCCTTGTTGTGTCATGAAGTCTGGTTATGATAAAGTAAGTCTTCTCGGAATTAGCTACTCTGTGGGATTTCTGATGCCCTCAAGATGGTTGGGGAAGTCCAGGAACGCAGATGAACACAGTAAAATAATGAATGCTTCACCATTTCTCCCCCGCATTTCCTCAATACCCACTGGTCAAGAGCAGCCTCTCATGCTGCTCTCAAAGCCTCCAAAGGAGTGATACTCCACAGATTTTCCTTGAGACGCCTTCCTACTCCATGTCTCATCAAACCTTTCCAGACGGTTATTAGCACTTATTATCTTCTGTCAGAATGTTTCCTTGGGCACCTATGGGCAACTAATACAGTTTTCCTTATGTTGTATGTATTTTCTTTCAAATCGCATTGCTGATGAAAGCAAGGGAGTCAATCCTTCTTTTATTGCCAAGATTCAACCTCCCATCCTCATCCTCTGCTTAAGATATAGTCACAGGATTGAAGATAACACAAGGAAATTAAACAGAGGGATAGAAAATGCAAAGCATGAGTATGAGCTAGCATTATCATTAAGAATCATTATATATTCCTCAAAATTGGGTCCCATGACCATCTCTGTTTAGTCTTTACCTGTCACTGTATTGGCACACTTTACTTCCCATTTCTGTGTCTTCTCAGTTTCACTGACAGGCTTCAGTCATGGCCTCTATCTTCCCACTTTCCAGGCAAATCTAAGAAGGCATCAGCCATATTATAGTAATATCTGTTAGAACCCCATCTTTCACTGGGTGGTGGCATACGCCTTTAATCCCAGCACTGGGGAGGCAGAGGCAGGTGGATCTCTGTGAGTTCGAGGCCAACCTGGTCTACAGAGCAAGATCCAGGACAGGCACCAAAACTACACAGAGAAACACTGTCTCAAAAAACCAAAAAAACGAACCCCATCTTTCCACAATTCAAACAGTACTTTATGTTAGTCTTTAAAGTTCCACCTGACACTGGAGCTCCGCGTTTGGTTAACTGTGGCATTCAGGACAATAACAATGATAAGAACCAGGGAATTTCTACCATCTTCAAGTTTAAAGACACTTTGGAACTTGTTTCCCACCAGAAGAAAGAAACTAAATCCCCCCTCCAAAGACAACTCTAGCTTCTACTCAAAGAGTCACATGAGTACCAGTGATGGAAAAAAGATTGAAAAGCAATGTCCTTATTTCCAGTCGCCGATGACTCAGAAATGGTGGTGCTGCCTTCATCAATGCAGCCAGCCTTTTCTCAACCATGAAGCCACCGGTATGTCCTTGTTTGTCCGTCTCTCATAGTAAGGCTTTGATTCAGCTAGTCTTCTTCATCACCAGGATATCTTCTTGCTAGGACTTGGTCTTTAATTTATATATTTTATCTAATGCCACCATTTCTCTTCTCACATAACCAGTAACTCATGCAAGAGTTAAGGTTCTCAACTAGCTATTAATTTTCCCATTGTAAAAAAAAAAAAATCTAGAGTGAAAGGAAAGTACCATGTTATTATCAGGAATACAGAGACTTCAGAAAGCTAATGGTAGCACTTCCTTGTCATGCCATCATCATTGATAAAACATAGTCTTACTGTAGGTTCCAGGGACTAGTCAATCAGCCGCTATTATCTGAGGTAGAGCATGCACTTGGAGTTCTCTAGGAGTGGTAAGCATACTGTACATATAAGATCACTGACAAGTTTCTTAGCCTTACAGATGTGTTAGAGGCAGAGGTGAGTCTGGGCTTGTCTACATGGGAAAAGTGGCCAATTAAATGGAATTGAATATCTTGAAATTTTCTGATTCTTTGCCACTGATTTGTAAGTCAGATATGTTCTTCCAATTTTGCTCTTTCTAAAGCCTGGCTTAACCTACGTCACCACTGACTGTGAGCTTGTGAAAAAATTTCACTTCCTTCTCAGCAGCTATTTCTGAAATGTGTGATTTTTCTGGGAGGGAGGAAAGAAATGGATTTCTGTTTCTAGGGTGAGAGTACATAGAAAGTGAGCCTTCCGTGTAGTTTTAACCTCTTCCGGGGGTATCTTTATCACCTCTCATGTCTATAAAACTGTCAGACACAACCAACAGGTGTCATGTGATCACCATTTCACCCCCCAAAGCAAAATTTAGACGCTGTGGCAATGCATAGCTTGGGGATGCTGATCTGTACTGGCATGCATAGTATATGGACATGTTTCTGCTGGTTGATGAGAATAATTCACAGATGAGGTGAAGGAGGGATGGGGGCTAAAGAAGAATAGAGGAGAAATAGGAGAGAGGGGAGGGAAAGGAAGAAAGAGAAGGCAAGGCAGAGAAGGGGAAGAAAGAAATTCAGCACAGGCCTGCCTCTTCCTACTAACCCACAGTGTTTTCCCATGTCTAGAGATACCTCAAGGACAGTGAAGGCCACAGTGAATTCATTCTTTCTATGGAATTCTTCTGATTCCAGCTCTATTTATAAATATGGGGACATTACTCAATTCAGTCTGTTACTAATCTGCTGCTAGCAAATATGCTACCCATAGCAACCTGAAAGGGAGAAGTTTAAAAGAACAGACACACTGGAATAATGAATGAGCAAATCAACCCAGATCAGGTTCCCTGTGTCAGTCTCACTGTTACCTACAGTTCCTGGGTTCAGGGGTTCTCAGGGGGTCAAACACCTGCTTGCCATCACATGCCCTTCACTGGTTTGAGCTTGACAGGGCCATCTCTTTGCCCCCCATGGTTATCAACGTAGTGACTGTTTTTTCTGCTCCCTATGTCTCTAAGTTTGAGTTGAGTCCATCTCAGATCTTTCCAGGCTACAGCCACAGATGTTTCCATAAACACAGATGTCCCCAGATGCTCCCTCTTGGGGGTTCACCATCATTGATGGTAAAGCTCTCTTCTCACTCTCCAAACAATATGTCTTATTGCTAGGTGTTTCCTTTTTTAACAAAACTAGAAAGCAGGCAGAGAATGTACTTGGATTGCAAAGGATGAAAGGAGGGGCTTAATGAAGAGATTAATTTATACTTGGATGACTCAAGAAAAGAGAAGGAAAGGGAAATAGGAAGGAAAAAATCAACAAAACATGACAAATGTTTTGTAATCTTTCCTTGTACTTGTTTTATAATGGAGAGGAGGGTCTTTAGAGATAAAAGCCAAATGGTGATGACAATGGAGGTTTAAATAAGAGTTTGTATGGTTCCCAAAAGACTCAAGTTAAAGTTTAGAATTATTTTTGAGTCATTCTTAACCAATCTTCTTTGATTGTGGAGCTATACATAATCTGGGCATTATAAAATCTGGACCCTGAGCCCTTCCCTGACACACTTGATTTCCAATGTGGTTTTAGCCATGCTCTCTGCAAAATATCCATCCTTATTTTCTCTTTTGCTTCTGGGTCTACCAATGATATCTAGACTTTAGATGTTCCAGAATGGATGCTCTAAGACACATGCCATGCCATCATATAGTAGCACATACCCTTTCTGTTCTGAGCTCCTAACGATGAGAAACCCTCGTTGCCAGTGCCTTTCTGCAGTCCAGAGTTCATTTTACCCTTTCCTTTCTTACTTTGGAGTCATTCAACTGTCTCCTCCAGAGAAATAGGCAAGCAAGATGTTGTGAGGCAGCCTAGATTGTCCTTTAGCCTGATACCATAGAGCACTGGATACTTTCAATGCAAATTAAGATAGAAAACACAAGTTTTTGTGTCTTAACCAGTACGTCTTGATGGTTGAGGCTGTCATTAGCCACTCCCATCCCATATAAGGACCTCTACAAATTACTGTTTTGGGGATGTTCTACTTCATGCCTATGCCCCCAAGTTTCAGGCAGTTCAGTGTTGTGCTGCTTTGGAATTCACTTCCTGGGTCTGAGACTGGAGTTTGTTATAGTTTCTTTTCTGCCACTGTGATATAGAACAGTCTAACCAAAATCAACTTAGGGAAAGAAAAGGTTTATTTCAGTCTACAGTACAGTCCATCACTGAGGGCAGTCAGGGCAGGAAATCAAGCAGGTTCTTGAAGGCATGCTTGCTAACACAAAAATGAGAGTCAAAACAACAAACAAGAACAATAAGATAAAACATGCCAAAACTAAACAAAAAGCCCACAAAAACAGAAAACATGGAGTGCATTAATACACAGTACAGTTCATTTTGTGTTGCAGCCAGTGTTTATGGGACTATTCAGACTTTGTTCCATATACCTATGTGAGGAATTAGACTGTCTGATACCAACAGGAACACTCATCACACACTGTACCAAACTCATTCCAAAACTGTCACCAATGTGCTAACAGCAATTCTGCAAATAACACTCACACACTGACCTAATTTCTTCATTTTCTGCTTAAACTGCTGAGTGTTCCGATTGTCACCCTTCTAATGATCATAATTGCGTAGATCTGTTGATGCTTCTATTCTGTTGATGTTTTCTTTTCATAAGTGGGAAATGAAGTTCAAAGAGGTCATATGAGTTGGCCAAGGTGCTGGGATAAGTTTAGAAATAAATCCAGACTGTGGTCCCAGAGCCCAAGATGCTAATTTTCACCAGTCCTGCAAGACTATCAGAAAGCAAACAGATCATAGAGGTTCAGGTTCGGATACTACTTTCCCTCTCTTGATTTTCCTTCACTCTGGCTTTGGACTTATGTTTCCCCAAATGAAATATTTTGACATATTTCTTTGCCTACAAGATTCTTAACACTGTCAAACGTTCACCCCCGCGTTCTTCCGAATATGACTACCGAGTGTAACATCCCAGCAAGGTCTTCCTACATTCCAATCCCAGCAGGATGGCCAAGTG